AAAACTCGAGGCATAATCATCGAGGCGTTTTTTACTGGAATTGCGCAAAGGCGGGCCTCAAGGCGAGCCTCATATTGCGCAATTTTAAACTATGCATATGATACATTGTACTCGTAAGATCTTAGGTTCAAAAGATAGAATCTAGTGAGCTTGATAATATTTAATTGGATGCCTTCTTATAATACACACCTGAGTGAATTAAGCACATCTTCTGATGTTCCATAGAATGATTCAATTAAGGACACCTGGTATCCAACAGATGGCGTGACAACAAGCTATCATGTTCCTGGATGATCATTGCAACCTGCACATGATGAACTTTGAATATAAATAACCATAAATCAAAGTTAAAGAATTCTGCATTCATATGTTAGATTAGGTCAAATTAGTTCAAATAACTTCACTCTACAATTCATTACCACATAATTTTTCGCTTAATTCTGCAGAGTAAGGATATATGCTTATGAAAGAAGCAAACTTGGCATTTAAAATTTCGTTTCGCAATATTGTGTTGTACTAGTATACTTCCCGACAAAAAATGCTATCAACCTTTCAAAGATAGACGACGCAAGTGCATTTATCATGTTAATAAAAAAATCAATGGAGAGGCTGCATGTAAGGGTAGAGCTTTCCCAAATGTATTTCTAGCATAAAGAAAAGTTAAGGTATGGGGTCCTACTAAAAAGCAAAGTAACATAAAAATAATGGGAGGAAAGAACAAAAGTCAGACCTTGTTCAGATAGCCAATTTCCATGGTCTTACTCGGACTCCTGTTTCCCTTTCAAACCTCCTTCTACGGTGTGAAAGAAATGAAGACCAAGTTTTATCATCATTGTTTGCAATGTAAAGAATGAAAAGAGGTAATATTTTTTTAGGAGAGCACTGCCCATGACATAAGCAAGTTCTTGATCTGGTAAGATACCACCCTGTAGCATCATATTGAAGAATATAATTGCCTCACCAACAAAACTTCGTTTACATAATCTATTAATTGCTCCATAATAATCCTTGATTGAAACTTCATACCCAGCTCTTGCCATTCTTTCAAAGAGCAGAATGGCTTTTTTTGGCATTCCCATCACACATTGTGCTTTAATTACTGTGCTGTAAGCAAACTTCCGCAAACAGACTCCCCTCGCTAACAAATCATCCAGCAAATGTTCTGCATTTTCAAGTTTTCTTTTCAGACAAAGTACATTGATAAGCAAATTGTAAGTAACAGAAGTGGGTGAAACATCATGCTCCAACATTTCCCCCAGAACATGAAAAGCCATCTTTAAGTTAGATACTTCACAAAAACCCTGTATGATAGTGTTATAAGTAATAACATCTGCTTCTAAACCAATTTCATTCATACCCTTGAGCAGTTTAACAGCCTCATTTAGCCTTCCATTCCTGCAGAGCCCTTTCATGACTACACTGTAAGTGACAACATTTGGTGTGATCTCTTTTCCAATCATCTCATCAAGCAATTCTAACATCACATCAAAATGCCCGGATTTGCCAAATGCATCCATTAAAGTAGTGTAGGTCACTACAGTAGGTGACACTCCATTACTTTCAAAATATCTAAGAAAATCCCTTGCAGCATGTAGTCTACCAGTCTTGCATAAGCCTAAGAGGAGTGAATTCCAAGTTACAACAGTTGGAGTCAATCCCTGCTTGAGCATCAAGTAATACAACTCAATAGCACCATTAAAATTACCTGCCTTAACATATCCATCAATTACTATGTTGTACAAAATGACATCGATGGACTGGCCACAACAGCGTAAATTATCCAGATATATCTTAGCTTCTGCCATCATTCCTTCCTTGCATAGGCTTGAAAGAAATGCCCCGTGAATGAATGAGTTCGGATTCAACTTTTTAGAGTGCATCACTTCACATGCTTCTAGTGCCTTGTCAATATGTCCTAGACTACAATATCCACGAATAAGGATTGAATATGCTACTAAATCTATATGCAAACCAATATCTTCCATCTCATCAAGCAGCATTTCCATTTCTTTGATAAAACCCTTTTTGCATAAAGCATTTAGAAGCACACTGTAGGCAATAATATTCAACCGAATTCCATGCTTCATCATATCTTTCCTCATCCTCAATCCATATTCAAGATTATCCTGATCACAGTGTCCAGTAATTAAAATAGTGTACGTAACAAGATCAGGTTTAAGACCTCTGATAAACAGCTCATGGATGAGCAAATAGACCTCACTCATATGCCCGTGTAAGCGACACCCATTCATGAGAATGTTATAAGTCACAATGTCATGATCAATTCCATCCCTCTCCATTCTCACTGAAACATCTAAAGCCTCCTCCAAAGATCCCTTTAGGCATAAGCCATGAAGAATGGGAGCATAACTATATTTATCAGGGATCAACCCATATCTAAGTGCCATGGAAAGAAATGACATCGAAATTTCTAGAAATCCTGCTTTACAGAATCCTGAAATCAGAGAATTTAAGATAACAATGGAAGGGATAAACTCTTTCCTCTCACGAAGCAATTGGAAGAAAAAAGATGCTTCTTGCAGCCTCTTTTGCCGGCAGAGAGCACGTATGAAGATACTGTCCGTGAATTCACTTAATGAAATCCCACGAAATTTGATTTCTTCATAGATGTCACAAACAATATCACTGTTCTCCAAGCTATAAAGCAAACTGTCATAAGTTGATATAGAAGCTTGGATGTTCAAGGCATCCATTCTTCTGAGAACAAAGAGAGCGTCATTTGCCATTTCTGATTGCGCATACACATTTGCAAGCATGTCCCACACTATGATATTAGAATCAAAGTTCTGGAAGCCCTCACACAGCAATGCACAAAGTGAAGGAGCCGAGCAAGGTCCTGCAAGTAAAAAATCAAGCAGAAAAATAACAAAACTAAATCTTTGTCATCTATAATGTGTAGGAACGGAATCTTTGCAAAGTTTTCGAAAAGGGAGAGTGCATCACCTTCTTTAGCGATTATTTGCCTCAAAATGTTTCGTGCCTCCTTCAACCTCCCATGTCTCGCCTGCGCATGGCAATCTCGCAACCGTGAAATCCTGTAATCCTTGGGCTCGGCTCGGAAGAATCTACCGCCATGCAAGGAATGGGACTTCTTTCGAAAAGCTCCTCCGAAGTGAATGGAGCTACATGCGGAGGAAAATTTGAATGTGTGGACAGCCTCAGCCATGGCAGCCGAAGAAGATGACCAGCACTTGGCGCGGGTAAACTGAAAAGGGAATCGAGGGAGAAATCGAAAGTCACGCCAACCGGGGCAACGGAGCATGGATGAGCTAGGGTTTCATTGTTGCGGGGAAGAACCGTTAGGGCTTCTTTTTTTTATTATTTTGATTGAAGTAAAATTTTAATATATTTGAAATTATTTCTAATTTTAATTTAAGTTACTTAATATTCATTTAATTTTCTCAAATGATATATATATATATATATATA